TAGCATTGCTCTTTGCAGCCAGACACATGGCCACTGAGCGATCAATAGGACAGGTGGGAAGAAGCCATACACTGGGGCTTGTGCAAAAACCAGGGTCTGTCACTTCCATCTGGTAGACTAACCAGAATATGTTATACATTGTTGTGGCTAATGGTGGCATCTGAGTACAGCCGAATGCTGGGTTTCTTTTTAAAAGGACAGTCAGCACAAATGGCACCTATAGGCTTATTCTATGTCCTCAGCATGCACTGAATCAAAACTTGTGATTTTGGAGGATTTTCTTTTTGCCTGTCCTGATAAATTAAAATTTGTCTTTGTCCTCAACATATTTATATGTAAGATAACTGAGAAGACATATCTGTTGTGGATTTATTGCTACAAAACCCGATGTAGATCTATTTTAGCCACAGTTTAAAGTCTAAGAAGCATGATGAACCATAGAAAGTTAGTCTTTTAAACTGCCATTATTTCTAGTGGCTATTTACATCGGTCTTCTGCTGCCTCTGCACTTGGACAAAGCAAAGGGAGATGCCTGGAAAAATCATTCTCTAAAATGGGTACATTGTCACACTTCGAGAAACATTTATTCTACCACACAAAAGAAAAATCAGAATAATTAATTATAATTTTAAGCAAAGAATGCTACTTGATCTTTTTGCCAAGTTTTAGTATGCAGCAATAGTTCTCATGGGAGTTTTATAAGCTTTCTAAAATTTGAAGTTGATGAATGATCTTCCAGTTCATGTGCCAACTTATCGAGTCCCATAAATAAAATAACTGATTCCCCCACTGCCCCAATTGCAGTTACTGAATCAAAACACAACACAGCACACAAAATCATGCAGTAATACAGCACTCTTTTGCACTGGACAGGTGATCATATGGACTTGCTGCTTTTGTACAACAGAAACTACAAAAATGAACTAGAAATCCCTTGGCTTCCTCTCCCCTCCCCTCCCCTTTCCTCTTGCATGGATTTAAATGAATATTTTTTTTATAAATTATTATTGCATGAGGATTCTCATTGTATCATGGTATAACAATAAAGATGGTACAACAACAACAACAAGCTTACCAGAATTGCAATGGGATGCATACTTTGGTAATAGGTGGCACTTCACATTTTGTTGTAAATAAGAATCAGTTAGGTAGCAGATGTGCAGCAATGTTCCCTCTAAGGTGCAGAGTCCTGTGAGCAAAAATTCTACTTTGTAAGCTCCTGGTATCAAAGTTGTGAGCGAGCGATTTGGCGACTGCATAAATTAGTTTGCTCTAGAGCCGCCTTTTCTGAGCAAAGACAAAAATGTGTGAACCAGAAGCTAAAAAACTGTGAGCTAGCTCACACTAACTCAGCTTAGAGGGAACACTGGTGTGCAGTTTGCTTATTTTTTTGCAAATTTCTTAGAGGAGATGCTCAGGCTCATGAGGAACCAGTGGTCCTTCAGAGTATATATGAAGACCATCTGATTCTTATTTGTTGCTGCTTATCTTACTGTTGGTTTCCAAATTTCCACCTGGGGTAGCACATACTGATTTAACTGCATGAGCTATGGACAAGAGTGCCTCTGTTTAACTCTCAATTCTGCCATGAACTTTCTGGCCAGACTTTCTTAAGCCATTAGCTCCCCTCCACAACAAAGGAGTAATGCTATAGGCATACCTTACAGGGTGGTCATTCGAATGACAGAGGTAACAGCTACATTCAGATGTCAGAAACAGTTTGCTTATGATGCCAATGAACTCCAAATCCTCAAGCTCATGCCCTCCTTCCTTCCTGCCCTTGCAGGCCATACCAAGATTGAGGACATTCTTGTTTAGGAAGTCCTCAGTCTAACTGCAACTTGTTGAGGTGTCCAATGAGTGTGCTTGAACAAATTGTTATGTGTTTCTTGCTGGCAGGCACATTGGAACCTGATCAAACCAGGACATTTGTCAATCAGACACGGCTTACTACAGGAGGAGAGAGGTGGGAGGAGCAAGGGAAGCAACACATTTTGGTTGTGCTCTACACTGGCAAACCTAAGTTTAATTACAGTGTATTGTGATGGCTGAATGCAAAGTCTACCTTTCTATGCTAAAGAATGGAAGAGAGGCAAAAATATCTGTGGAAACTGACACAACAGATCATGAATTGTATTAAACATTGTATAAATTGTGACTGTCTAGAGTCTATCAACCAAAGCAACACGGAAATTTCATTTCTACCACATGTTTTGCTCAATAACTTTCAGATTTTGTTTTAGAAACATGATAGGCACAGGTAGGGATCTCAAGTTTGTAGCCACCCTGACAACAGACAGTAGAGTGACTATGAACCAAAAAAAGAGAACCAGGAAAGGGAAGCTAAGCACCTCCCCTTCTTAACTTGCTGTGTTCTGTTGCATTGAGGAGTTTTCCTCACAGGTTGGTCCATTTCTAGCCAAGCTGACAGAAAAAGTGCTGAGTGGACCAGAGCGCAGCTTCACAAAGAGGGACAAGGACCACGCCTGAGCTGCCCTCTCCTTTGGACTCTGTTTTTCTTAAAGAATTCCCTACAGCCCATGGTTTAGAGAGGAAAGAATGGATAGGACACGAGTGTAAAGACACATGGGTTTCCCACCTCCCCTCACGATGAGCTTGGCTTTCGGCCTTCAAGTAAGTGATTTCACTTGGTGTCCTTACATGGGCAAGGAGAGAGCCCAAAAGAACTGCTTAATTGCACAACCGATTCCCTGCCTCAAAGCAGATATAAATTCAGTAAAGCAAAAGGCATGTAATGGCACGATCAAAGGCTTTGGAAGATGCTCTGGGATAGTACACAGGTTACAAATTGATATATTTTAATTTGTTATAGTAACTAATTAGTAAGCATGCTTTTTCAGGAATTAGAGAATTGAATACTTTTTAATAGTGATTTAAGTACACCAGATTACCCTAGTGGGCAGGCCTGACATCCAAGCAGCACAATCAGGTAGCAGTTGAAGCTCCCACCCCAATTGGGGCAGCATGGCCCATTACCAACCCAAGGGAGCACTCCATTGTCCACATCTCCCCCTGGCAGCCACCACTCTCTTCTTGGGGCCCACCACTGCCAAGAAAGGAAGTGAGCAGCTCTTCCTTGCCTCTCTGCCAGTCCCACTTTCTCTCTTCCTCAGAGGGAGGTGGCAAGGAGCAACTGCCACCACAGGAGCAGTGGAAGGTGCTACCCCATGGTGAGGGAAGCAGCCAGTGAGACATCCTCTCTTCTGTTTTAAGGGGGCTCACTGTTGGTATCTCCCTCACCCAAGATACTGAACAAGCAAAGGTGGAAGGGCTTTCACATAGCATTGGCAGTTGAGAGGAGGGACAGCTTAACCCTCCTTGAATTTGTCATTTCTTGCCTGCAAACCTGTTCTCCTCCTCAGCTGGGTTTCGGAGCCCAGCTGGGAGGAAAAATTAATACAGTGGGTGGGGGAGGAAGCATTTGCAGTGGAGAACTGTATGTGTGGGGGGAAGTTAACACCCCACTTCACCTGTCGGTTCTTCAAGCGCTTCCCCCTAGATGGGAGCAAGAGGCAGGACTGGAAACACCATGATTCTCTTAGGAAATCACCTTTGCCCCACTGTCCCCAAAATTAGGAAGAAAAAGTAAAGGCACTACATGCAGAACATCTTTGAGTCACTACTGAATAACCAGAACCAGTTCTTACAAACCAGGGATCAGGGGGTAGCATTTCCAAAGGGAGGACATGGCCTCAGGAATAAAGTTTGCTTAGAACTATTGTTTTTTATCAGGTGTCCCCTGTTACGCTAGGTGCTGCACAATTTCTAAAAACAACAACAAAGTAAATAGGAAATGGAAGGTAGAATAAACAGTTATAATACAACCAAGTTTTAGGGGTATCATATGGTGTCGGGTGGAAACGGTACATCATCATCTATAGAAATCTGAAATTAAGTACTGTTGAAGATATTGTTTTGAGTAGTGGTTTTTGAACATCTTCATTCTGGAAGTGCCAAAGGAAGAGTCTTTTGTATGCTTTTCTAGCTTGGTATTGTAAGATGTATACTATTTTAAGGATGCTCCTCCAAAAGATGATCTTTAAATAACAAGGTCTCAAGGCCAGGATTTCCATGTCAGCTCTAGAGCAACCAAGAATTCTCAAATTAAATCTGCGCTAATCCACAATGAGGTTCTTTTCTTTTTGAACAATTTATACTAAGTACTGAAACATCACACAGGTCAGTAACTTTCGAAAAAAAGGGGGGTTTCTGTATTTGACATACATGACTAGCACTCAAGCCCATGACATTGTTTTTAAACAACAGCTGGTGAATAACACCAGCAACGCAGGTGATCCTGGGGAATAATACTGGGATACTCTCCGACACACTGTGGTGAGATGCCCCCCCCCCCCAGCCCTAGCACCTCTGGCTTACTGGAACTCAAGACAGTTAAAAGTGTCACCCAGGATCTGAGAGCCTTGAAAAAGGTGGGCTTTGGCCTTCATCCGGGGCGACAAAAGCACTCTGCCCAGGCTAAGAGACAAGTTTCTTTACCACCACCTCATCGGTCTTGAGTCAGGCGTTCAAAACAGGTTCCGGGACTGAAGCCGGACTCGCATCCAGCCCCTGCACGTTTCCTATTCCAAAGCAAAGCATCTCTAAAACGCAAGGGGGGGCGGGGGTCCCCAGTGCCGCTCTGAATGCTCTTTCTTCCAGCAGAAAGGGTCCTGAGTCAGCGCTCACTTCCTCCGCCGCATCCGTCCCAGGCAGCTCTCCTGACTCAGGGCAGCTTCTGCGGGAAGAAGGGAGGCTTCAGGGTCTCATCGGGACCTGCTGTCAGAATCGAACCCGCTCCGTCCGTGGTGACCCGGACTGCCCACAACTTGGCCAAAGCACAAGAGCCTGCCGGGGGCGGGGGGGCTGGAAGGAGCGCGATGAAAAGACACCCCCCCAGAAAGCACAAAGCCGCGGGGAGGAGGGGGGGGGAGAAAAGTTTGGCCCGCCGTTTCGGGCCCCCCCCCCCCGCACAGACCTACCTGAAGCCCCCGAAGGAGGCGGAGGGAAGACGAGCCGCAGGAGGAGGAGGAGCCACAGAGCCGAGAGCCGGGTCAGGGCTTTGGGGACGCACATCGAGAAAGGGGGTGGAGGGTGGGGAGGGGAGTCACATGGTCGCCGAGCCCGGGGGGGTGGCGTGCCCGTCTCTGCAAGGAGCCGGGGGACCGAGGCCGGAGCGGCGGCCCAGAAGCCAGGCGGAGGGCCAGCTTGCGTCTCCCTGCTGCCTGCGCGCATCAACTACCGATACTCGGAGCTGTTTTCTCATCCAGCCTTTCGGTCCCTCCTCCGACCGGGCAGGTGGAGCAGACAAAATACCCTCAAGGAAGAGAGTGTGAGGCACAGGTGCCAAACTTGCTGCATTAGATAACAGGCAAACGGCATCGTGTGTGTGAGTGTGTGCTTGCGTGAGGGGGCGAGCCAGCGAGCCAGCCTGTAGAGTCCACTTAGCATTCCCAGTTCCTCAGTTCCAGCTTGGAGAAGCCACCCCCGGGGAGACCCTGCCCTTTAGTCAAGGGCCACTGGTTGTGGAATGGACTGTACCACTTGAGAGGGCAGCTAGGGAATTACTACATTCTTCCTTAAAAAAAAAAAAAGCTTTCTGCATATAGAAAGCTAGAACAACAGGGAAACGTACACCTTCCTCCCTTTGGTGCTAGGTTTTTACTTGCAGGGCATATTTTACCTTAAACGATGGCTTCCCCCATGCTCTTAAGTGGTACAATTTCTCTCACTACCTCAGGTATCTACCAGCTCACTCTGCTGTGGAGCAGGCAAAGAAGTAAGAAGGCAGCATGCACTGAGCTCTCTTCAGAGGTACTTTACTGCTTCATGTCTGGTATAAGCCATGGTCCTTCTCTGTCACAGGCCTCGGCTTTTTCTCAGTCACAGTTCTAATCTGAAATGGCTGTTCATCAGCAGCAATGGGCTACCTAACCCAACCCAGATACAAGCACCGGGACCAAAGCCTACAACCAACTCAGGTGCCAATTTCTGTCCCTATTCAATAGCACTATTACAGGACCTTAGCCATAACCCCCCCTCCCCCAGCTCATTCATCTGTTTATCCTCCAGAATGTTAGCTGCTGCCTACAAAAGACAAATGGGTCAATCTTTGTGCAAAATATTGAACAGACACATCACAAATGTGACACAACAATGGTGATATTCAGAAACTGTTTCAGTCTTGCAGGCTGTATGAGTGACCTGAAAGCTGACATTTTTCAATAGAAGGATTTCAAAAGGAGACTGCAGTGCACAGCTGCTGAATTGAAATTAACCAGGAAGCTTGACACTGTCTCTTTAGTTCTGAAGAAAGACAGTGGTTTGTTGTCACACTACACCATCCTGTCAACTGTATTGACTCACTCTGCATAATCCCACCTTGAGTCCAAGTGAGGAAGGTGGACTACAAATGATGTAAATAAAATAAATAAAAGATGTTACTGAAATAATCACTGAGTAGTGCTGTTGTGAATTGTCACTCTGCTTATACACGTCTGAGATGTGACAGGCGGTACCTTAATTGCATTTCATTACCTTTTTATGCACTGCTGACAGTTTTCCCCCTTGATCCACTGTGTCTGTTTATAAATGAAGCAAATAAGCTTATGTGTATGTGAGTATATATAACTCTGTACTCTGTCATACACATTGAAATTCTTACAAAGCAATTTACAAATTCTTCTTGGAATCTCATATATAGATTGCAATAGATGATGATCCTGTATATGGCTAAATCTGTGCACACTGATGCTTGGAAACTGCATGTGGCCTCGGCTTTCCAGCAAACAAATTGATCATCAATAGACAGACATTAACAATCTACACACTGTATTAACGCAACAAAATAAACAGGTGTGGCTTTGTCATAGATAACAATGGACATGCAGTTTGCAATCGGGAAATCATATATGTGCAGATAATTGTAGAGGACAAAGAGACCTCAGTTCTCTTGCACTGATAAAGATGAAAGTATACATTCTGTGGGTCTTAAATTCTTCCCATGTACATGTAAAAACTAGGGGGGGGGGAAAATGTTTAATATGAGAATACCAGTAGAAGAACTAGGGAAAATAGCTTGCTGAATGATAATGAGAGAGGAAGCATTCTGCATATAAGTAATGGCATGGAGGAAGGATAGAGAGGTAGAAACAAGGACACAAAGCAAGAAGTCAAGTATGAGAGAACTCTTTGCATACCCTTTATTAAATGGGTGACTAGAGTTCCTCAAAGGGGTAGACTGGCTGCTGCGCTGCTAATTCATGGGATGAGTTCGGGCCATGCCCCATCATCTGCTTCCTGGAACAAAAGAGAAGCTAATGACTTACATTGGAACATTTGATACCTCCAGTGCAAAAAAAAAAAGTGTAAAGGTCACTGGGCATATCTTACAGGGTGCTAACACAGGATGTGCTGCCTTCTGGCAGCTCTACCACACCGCCCCAAAGGCCTCGTTCTGAACCTCATTCATTTCTAAGCCCCCCAGTCCGCATCGGTTCATGCCCTCTAATGTTAGACTGAAAGGCTGTGGTGTATGTATGAGCAAGTAACTTTGAGCAGGGGACCTACTTTGAGTTGAGCAAGAGCTGGAGGGCCAGCAGCACTGATTCCACACAAGCTGAGACACACTTTGGCAGAGCCCTGCCTTGAGGCATCTCAGCTGCTCACTAAAATTTGCCAGGATATTGGCTTATGCACAGGTGTGCTTGAGGTACGCTAGGGGAGAGCTTGATTCTATTTCAGTCTGTTGCAGTTTATATGCAGGGAGAGGAGGTTATGAAACTATATGCTTGTGGCTCAGTTTGGGAAAATTTGGTTGAGGTGCGTAGTAGTGGGGGTACTTGGGTTCAGGGGTCATTTCGCTCAGCGTCCTGTTTTATCCAGTGGCCAATCAAATAGCCCGAAGGACCTACGAACAAGGCATGGAGGTCAAAGCCACTTCCTGCTGCTTCCTCCCAGCAAATGGCATGCAGAGGTATAGTGCCTCTGATCGTGGAGGTTCCATTCAACTATCATGTCTAACAGCCATAGACCTGGCTGCCATTAAGTTGTCTAGTGCCACATCATGTGGCTGCCAGTTCCACAAGGTAATTATATATCAGGTGAAAAAGCACTTCCTTCTGTTTGTCTTGAGTCTGCTGCTCATGTAGTTATGCCCTCAAGTGCTCCAAGTTCTAGCAGTAGGGAAGAGGAAGAAAGGCAGTTTCTCCACACTGTACTTTTATAAACCTCTATTTTATCCTCTCTCTTGTCATCTCTTTTCTCAAGTAAAAAGCCCCAACTTCTTTTCTGTAGGAAACATGTTCCATCCCTTAATTATTTGGATTGTCCTTGTTTGTTCCTTTCCCAAGTCTGCCATATTCTTTTTGAGATGGTCAACTGAAACTGTGTACAAAGTGTTCCAAATGCAGCCGCTAGAAGGATCTGTACCAGGGCATTAAAAAACTGACCATTGTATTTTCAATCACTTTCCTGAAGGCTGTCTGGAAAACACAGTTGACTAATGGGCTTATGTTAAGAATCCCTAGCATAGATTTTGCCTTTTTAACTGCTGCTGCACACTGAGCTTATATTTTCATTTAGCTGTCCACTGTGACCCCAAGCTCCATTTCCTGGTGAGCTGCTGCCAGTTCATATTCCATCAGTATGAGGGTTTTTTTTTTTTTTTGCTCAACTGAGCATCACTTACACTTAACTTATATTCAATTTGATTTGCCACATGTGCCGAGTTGGAGAGGTCATCCTCATCTATTTTTTACCGTACAAAATAATTTGATGTTATCCACAAATTCGGTCACTTCACTGCTCAGTCCTGATACCAGGTCATTTATGAATAAATTTAAATAGCAGCAATCATAAAGCACGTCTCTGTGGGACCCCACTGCTTCCTTCCCTCCATGGGGGGAGTTGTCCACTTGCTCCCATTCTCTGATTCTTGTTATTAACAAGTTATTAATCCAACAGAAGGGCCTCTCCCTCTATTCCATGTTTGTTAAGTTTACTGAGAAGCATTTGGTGTGGGGTTTTTTAAATAGCTTATCCATGAATATGTCTACTGCACCACCCTTATCCACGGGCTTCTTACTTGAAAAGGGTGGTGGGGGAGGATTCTGAGAGTCTCTGTTTACAGCTATCACATTTTTTTAAATTTGCCAGACTGACATGCTTTTAACAGGGGAAGCCTTTCTGTCATGGGGATATGTGGTGGGGAAAGCTTCACCTGTTAATTTTGTTTAATTTTATGTAGTAGGGCCTTTCTGCGTTGCTTTTCTCCCCGAAGTGGCTCACAGAAATGTCCAAAGCAGCACTTTAAACAATGTAGTTTATATGCACCAGGCAAACAAAGAAAATAAACACATCCTGGGTGGGGCCTCATTCACTGGGATGACTATAATAAGTCCCAGAGTGCAAGCTAAGAGTTCCATGGCTCTTGCCCTTCATCTCATGCCTCTGGTCATGCCCAGGCTTAAGTACCTGCAAACAGGGAAGAAAACCAAGTCAGCCCAGATGATACTCAGCTACTGCTAGCAGGCTTTCCCCTACTTCCTTCCCTGCCAGAAGAACTTCTGGGCACACCCAGGCTTAAGTACCTGCAAATTACCTGTATGTCAGGCTCCCATTAAAGGTACAAAAGCAGAGCCAGGTGGAAAAAAGATGGCAATATGTTTCAATATCTATCTGCGTGAATAAGAGATAATAAACGAAAAGGAAGAACTAATACAGCTAGTAATTGTATAGGAACATTCGTGAGCTGAGTGCTTAAGCAAGATAACCTGTGTATTATGGCGGTAACAAGTCTCCTGTGAATGTGCAGTCCAGTTAATTAAAGCCATTCCTGTCTTCCTGATCTTCCAGCCATTGTTCTAGTAACACATTTCTTTCCAGTCTAACCAGAATGGATTAACAGCAAAGGTGCATTCAGAAGATGGAAACTACACACATACAGCTGGAAACCCTCTAAATTAAAAATGTAAATAGCATTCTTAGCTTCCTTCCAAATAGCTTGACGCTTAGCTAGACAGATTAAACTGGAACTGTGCGAGCATCTGGGAGGATGGTACTGGGAGGCATTTATAAAATCACAGCCAAATATGCTAAACTTTTTTTTTTTTAAAGGAAAAGAATGCAATTAAGTTTGGATGGAAGTAGTCCAGTGGGTGATTGAAACACAAACAACGATATTCTACTGCCAGGGGGAAAAACAGGGGAAAAAATCTCTTTGAAGTTATTAAATACACTACCTAACTAAAAGTATA